GGGGGGCCCCTTTTCCCATCAGAGCCACCCTGCCCCCCCCCCCCCCCCAGCAGAGCTGAAGCTTAGGTTCTAGGCTGTAGCTTAGGTATTTCGAACTCCACACGCCGCATCGGCGGCTTTTGTTCATGCGTTCTACTACAGCCATACTGGGGTGAATGAATTCTGTAATCGACCCCCTACTCGAATAGGGTCGCTCGTAGGGCCACGTCGGGCCTTCCTGGGGGCTTCTCGGGGTTCTGTCGGGCCGTCTCCCTCCCAAAGCCTTCGTGAACAAGTCCTTGGCCGGTAACGGCCTACAGCTAGAAGCACGCATGCTTGCCAGTGTGGATTTCAAGCGGTAGGTTCGTGCACTCTCGAGTTGCATGCCTATGGGGTGCAAGCTATTTGGCGCACGACATGAAGCTCAACAGCTCGTGTGTAAATGTGTATACATATGTGTATAAGGGTGCCGTTTACTCGGGGCAAGCTACGTGGTGCATGGTATGTGGTGTCAGCCCCGTCGCACCTCAGTACACATGCTCATACATCGATATGCCTGTGCATGCATGCCTGCACGCATACATGCTTGCCAGCCTGCAGACCGACATACCTACGCACGTGCACACACACACACACACACACACACACACACACACACACACATACACGGACACCTACAAAAAGCTGCGCCGGAAGCCGCGTGCGCACGCTGGAAAATCGAGCCAGCGCACTGGGCGGGCACGCGGCGGGCACGCGCAGGCGCCCGGCGAGGCCAGGAGCACCCCGTGGGCGCACCGAGCGGGCGCGAGGCGGGTTACCTGCGGGCACCAGGCGAAAGTCAAGCAGTGGCGAGGCGTCCTGGCTCGCCCAGAGCCCTACCAAACAATGTTCTAAGAACCTTTCTTGTGGTTTCTGGTTTCCACGAAGTGTTCTTAGAGCATTTCTGGCAAAGTCTGTCTCGGTTTAACACATCGGGTTTATGTTATAAGAACATTGTTTTTGGTCTTAGAAAATTTGTGGGTTCTAAGAACATTTCGTGGTAGGACTATAGGAATGCCGGGACAGTCGGTCCCTGCTCAAGAAAGTCTGGGACCCCCGTCCAATGACCTGAGAGGTTCAGTTTAAGAAGACCACTCGTGCAAGCACTGCCCAGGGAAAAGCCATGTCTTCGAAAATGACTTCATACCTGGGGCATCTCGTAGAACCTTCTTGGAGCGTCTCTGGTGCCTCTCATGCACGTCGTGGGGCCCTCCTTCCATACTGGATTGGAGGCCTCTCGGGCCATTCTCGTACACCCCACGCCCTTCGGTCCCGACCGAAATCCGGCTCCGGGATCCCGCCCGATGCATCTTGGCCGTTGCCTCGTTCAGGATCGATGTTTGATTGTCCAAGGGGCCCAAATCGAGGAACATGTGCGGCGCGAATTGTCGGTTCCTCCCCTCCCCAGGACACCCCAAGCCCAAGCCCGCCAGGGCTTCATTTGAGATCCCCAACGGGAAAGGGGACTCCCTTCGACTCGGCTGCGACACGGTTCGAGCTTCCGTGGGCCTGGCGCGCCCGAGGAGGAGGATTCCAGGCGGCCGTAAGTCTGATAGAACGCGTAAGGACGGGGTGAATTCTGAAACGGCTGATTGCGTACATGGTTGCATGCAGCTGGTTTCGGCTCCACCGCGGGTCGATGCACCCCGAACAAGGAAGAGGGCGAGAGCCTCACAGGGGAACATCCGCTCGCACACTGACCGCCCTTCTCTCGTCCATCCTTCTCCGCCTACGCATCCGCATCCTCGCCAGGGTCCTCGTTCGCGTCGCGCCCTCCAATCATCTACACGACGAGTGACCCTTCGCCGGAGTGACCTCCGGTGCGCGGCTCTCGGAAGCGCGGGGTCTCAAAGCCCAAGCACGCAGGCAATTTTTGTCGCATCGCATGCAACGCATGCCGCGCAGCCTAGTATCAGCTTTCCGTGTAGCCGATTCAGCTCCTCGTCCTTCCTTCCCCAGAAGTCCCCAGACGCGTCCAGAAGTCCTCGGAGGTCCCCAGAGGTCCACCCCCTGGAGGAGGCCATCTGGAGGCCCTGGGAGGCCAAAACTGGACAGAAACGTCCAAAGATCACAATCCTCGATCCTCCTGCTCCTCCGCCCTCGAGCTTGCCCAGCTCAGAGCACTCGGATGGGAGTCCGCTGGCGCCCGCTCGCTCGCATCCCTCCCTGTGGCCCTCTCGGGCAGCAGACGGGCAGCCAGAGGCCCGCAGTCCGTCTGGGCGGGCCTGCCCCGAAGCCTTCGGCTGCCAGGGCCGATCCCGGTGCACTGCCCACGCAGGGTGTAGCTCACCAGGCTCACCAGGGGCCTGCTGTTGTCAAGGTTTGGGCGAGAACGGCCGTGCTGGGCCCTCTCCCTCCCCCCCCCCCGGTGACGCCACGCCACTTTTGCCCACGTTTGCAAAGATGGCCTGCGAATTCTTCGAGGACTTCCTAAGACTTCCGGCGGCCCCCCGCCGAGGTGTGATCGGGGGGACGCACTGCCCCTTCCCCCTCCCCCGATCACGCCCGCGATCGCGAATAATACAACACGAGATCCCAGGACACGCACCAGAGGTCTTCGTTCATTCCCTCGAACCTTCTCCTCCTCGCCCCAGGGGGGAAACATCGTCCTGAATCGGCGATATATATATATGTGTGTGTGTATCGCCGATTGGCCCCCGACAGTGAGCCCGCACGTTCCTGGGCCGGGTGGGGCAACTGGACCCCTATCGACGAGCAGTGGGCGACTCGGGGCCGACGAGCAGCACGCCGATGTGCTCCGACGAGGCGCTCGCCCCTCCTCTGCGCGCGCCCCTCGGGCCGGTGCGCCTCGCGCTCCGGCCCGGCCCGGCCCTGCCGGGGCCACCCCGCTGCCGCGGCGGTGCATCGCCCCGCTCCTCGGCCCCATCTCGTCGGAGCCCGCCCGCGGGGGGGGGTCCTCGGAGGTCCCAGCGCTGGGCTCCGTGCTCCTCTCCTGCTTCTCTCCGCGCTTGTTCGTTCCTCCTCCGTCGGCCCGGCTCGCCCCGTCTGCGTACTCTCGCGCCATGCGGCCCGCATGACTGCGCCGCCAAGTGTGGCGGCCTCGCGCGCCCGTCGGAGTCATCTGCACCGCCGACCACGCATCTCGCGCCCGAACATGGGCGTGGACTTCCAGCCTTGGTCGGCAGACTCGCGTGCGATCCGCCTGTCGCGCTTTCCCCCCAGCAGGAGAGGGGGGGGGGGGAAGAAAGGGGGCCCCTCGTGGCCGCGACTGGGCGCGGCTCGGGAGACCGGTCAGTTTCGACCACGGGAGGGGTTCTGGGGACCGACCTGGGCGGAGTTGTCCTCGCCCCTCCCTCTTGACGACTTTCTCGGGGCCCATCCAGTGCAGACTCCCCGGCCGCTGCCAGCTCTGTCGTACTTGCTCCGGGCCAGTCCGCCGATCAGATCAAGGGCGCGCGTCGGGTGGGACGAAAGACGGGCGGGGTAGGGGAAGGGCGAGGTGGTACAGTCAACCCGCATAGTGAGGATGGGCAGCCTGCGGCAGCCTTTCCAAGGGTACCCTTGCATCCTTCCCCTTCGGCCCACTCTTGGCCGCTTTCGCTGGCCGCGCCCCGCTCGAGAAGCTTCGAAATGACCTTCCAAGGCCCTTGCATCTTCATCGTGCGTCCTGATTACACGGGTCGACTGCACAAAGTCTGCTGCATGCAGCTGGGTTCGGCCCCACCGCCTGGCGCATTCTTCGATAGATGGGCGCCAGAGGCATTCGGGAACCAGCTACGTGAGCTGATTCGTTAAGACCCTCTGCTATCCCCCCCTTTCGTCCGACCCGGGTGCCCCTTACTCAGGCATGCGGCGCGTGTATTTGTTCAATGCGTGGGTCACCCGGATCTCTAGACAAGTTTCCCAGGGCCGGTTTCATCTGGAGTCGCTCTTGTTGACGATAATGTAGGATGACGATTACTAAAAGACCAGGGGCCGTATTGCGTCGGCGGCGCCCCGGAGGATGATTAGAAAAAAATGGCCGCGGGTTGGGAAACTATTTTTTGAATCGTTCCCCCTTTGCCGTCGTTGCAAAATTTGGGTTCGACGTGGATTATGCATTTGACGTAACATTTGAATCCGACGTCAAATGAGCATTAGACATAATGTTTGAAGCCGACGTGGAACGAGTATTTGACGTAAATGCTTGAAGCCGACGTAGAAGTTGCATTTGACATAAAATTTGATGTCGACGTCAAATGATTATTTCACGAAAAAATTGACGACGACGTGAAATCAGTATTCGACGCAATATTGGAAGCCGAAGTACAGTAGACAGATTTGATAATCGCCATCCTCCCGTTGAAAAATCTATTTAAATCAAAGAAACTATTTGTTTAATCGTCCCCCCATGTTTTATGAATCGTCATCATGCATTACCGCTATCGGCTTGCAGAGGTCAAAGTGACGACAAGCAGACCGCCTCGATCTTTCGAGGCACCAAAGTCTAGGCCTCGCAGATGAGATCCGAGCTGATGAGGTTTGAGGATCGCTCCGCATCGCCGATGCATCGGCGATGCGTCGGCGATGCGGCGCGATCCTATGACCCCATGAAGGTATCTACACATGTTTGGCTGGGTACCGCAGTCTGGACCGGACTCCTGGCCCCAGGATGCCTGAGTTTGCAGGCCAGGGCTTGGAAGCCAGTATAGAATTTCACAATCGGGGATTGGCCATGGATACCTGCGCCGCCCCATCAGATATGGAATCCTCCAGGGTCTGAAGCCCTCCTTGTCCGGAACGAACGCCCCCACTGGCTGGGTGTTCGAACCCAGACCGGACTCCCGGCCCTGGGATGCTTCCAGATGAGCTTCTGGTGCGAACCCAGCCTGAGCCCGATCTTTCTCTCCCCCGGGGGCCGTCCAGAGCAATGCTCCTCGAACCCCACCTATAGGGGCGCCAGCAGGAGAAGCTGGCTCGTCCATTCATCGCCAACTCATCGCCGATCGGAGCCCGAGTCTGGACCGGGCTCCTGGCCCCAGGATGCCTGATGGTGCGGGAGCTCCCAGTGCACCTGTGCGCGCGGCTCTGGGACACGTGCATCGCGGAGTCCGCGCTGGGGGCCCGCCGGGGCTTCTCGGACTTCCTCGTAGGCACCGGGAGGGTGCCCATGAGGAGGGCTGGCGGCGCGCACGAGGACAGGGGCCCGATTCGACTTCTGGCCCGTGTCTGCTTTCGGCCCGGCCTCGGCACGTTTCGGCTCCGCCCCCAGTCGTCAGGGGCCGGGCCGAAACGCGCCGAAGCCGCAACGGGCCGAAGGCAGAAGCGGGCCCATGTCCACGAGGGGGGGGGGCGCGACGAGGGGGGGCGGCCTCTTCAGAAGGCGCAGGGCTTCTTGGAAGGCTGGGGCCTTCTTGCAAGGGCCCTGGAGGCTTCTGAGAGGGCGGCTCAGAATCTGGGAAAGGGCCTCGAAGAAGCCACCTGCCTTCCCGGACGTGCAATATGTCCTGGTTGTTTCGCTACGCGGCCCCCGGGAGTCCCGACCTTCCCCTCCTCCTCCTCCTCCTTCTCCTCCTCCTCCTCCTCCTCCTCCTCCTCCTCCTCCTCCTCCTCCATTCCTCCTCATTATCAATCACTTCTCCCTGTCGCACCCTGAGGCCAGTTTTCAGGGCTGGGCGGGCCAATTCCGCCTCACCAGTTATGCTTCTGAAGCATAAAAAAAGACAACAGCTTCACAGATGGAGGGCGGGTCGTTTTCAAAATGTGGCTCTCGCTTATGCGCCGTGCACATTCCTTTTCAACATTTGCAAAAGCTTCACGGATTGAGGGCGGGTTATTTTCAAAATGTGGTTCTCGCTTTAGCACCGCGCACATTCGCTTTTAAAATCAAAATGTGGTTTTCACTGTAGCGCCGCGCACATCCGTTTAAACAAATTGCAAGAGCTTCACGGATTGAGGGCGGGTCGTTTTCAAAATGTGGTTCTCGTTTTAGTGCCGCGCACATTCGTTTCAAACATTTTGAACAGGTTCACGGATTGAGGGCGGGTCGTTTTCACAATGTGGTTCTCGCTTTTGCGCCGCGCACATTCGTTTTAAACATTTGCAAGAGTTTCAACGATTCCGATGATCAGCGTTCCACAAATGGTGCTTTTTTAAAGGATTCAGGATTATGCGGGCGCAGCAATAATTATGGTTCGCGATGTTGAAGTCCCAACACTGGCGTTCTGGCACGATTCCAGATCGTCAGGACGCAGCAGTCAGATTGATCCGTGGCGTGGAAATCCCAAGAACAATGTACTGGTGTGTCTCAAGGTCTTCAAACGGTTGTCTTCCAACAAGGCAGTTCCCTCAATGGAAGTGAACCGTTGTAGGGGCCTCTGAAGAGGGAGCTTGGAGGGAGGGTTAATTCCAACAGCGTTGATGACTCTTGAGTTTACACTGGTCCTCCTCATCCTCCTCGTCCCCTCCTCCTCCTCATCCCGAGTCGTGCTTGGACGGCCCCGGGGCCCGGTGAGGGCGAGGGCCCCCTGGGGGCCGAAAGCGGCCCACAGCCTCCCTCTTCCCGACGCGAGCAGGGTTGGGTTCTCAGAAGGCGCCTCAGAATCCTGACCTCCTCCTCCTCCTCGTCCTACTCCTCCGCCTCCTCCTCCTCCTCCTCCTCCTCCTCCTCCTCCTCCTCCTCCTCCTCCCCCTCCTCATCATCATCATCCCTGCTCTCTCTTCCCGACGCGAGCCGGGTTGGGTTCTCAGAACGACCCAGGGGGCTTTCGAGAAGGCGCCTCAGAACCCTGACCTTCCAGAGCGCTGCATAATAGCACCCCAGACATGCAGATCTACCTGGACTGCCCCAAACCCCGACAGGAACTAGGACGTCGACGTCCTGGTGCTATTGTTGCTGGCCCTCCTGGAAGGTCAGGGAAGCCGGGGCGGGGTGGGGCTTCCGAGGGGCCACCGTCGCCCCCTCGGGAGCCCACCCCCGGCCGTCGCGCAGGGCCGCCCCCCCCCCCCCTCGAGCGGTATACCCCCTCTTGTGCGCACCGCCACCGCCAGGAGGAGGAGGAGGAGGAGGAGGAGGATCTTCCGTCGCCATTTTGTTGCTTCCCCTCCCGCCCCCTTCCTCCCTCCCTCTCCCTCCCTCCCCCCCCTCCCTCCGTCCCAACCATCCGCAGCGAAGCGGGTGGCGTGATCTGACTTCGAATGCGGGAAACGAGGCGAAACGAAATGAAGGAGGATCTTAGCTGGCTGTGTTTCGGCCTTCCTCACTTCCTCATCACGAGTCGCTTGGCGAGCGTCTGCTCTGTGCCCGTTCGGGCTTGTCGCGTGCGCATGTATTTCTGCCCAACTACGTTCGCTATGCTTAATTCGCTGCGCACGTTGCGGCTACGGCATCCTTCAGGGCGGCTGGCCCTTGGAGGAGCCACCGAATCAAACGACGCGGGCGGAAGGACATGTGCGCGGAGGCTGCTGATCGGTTGCCTCGCGGCGGGGACGAGGGAGCGGGCGAGCCGGAAGCAGCGTCCAGGCCGGGCGCGGCCCCCTCTCGAGGCAGAGGGGCGGAGGCTTCGGGGGGGAGGCGGAGGAGCCAGCGCGCGCACCCGCTCCCGAAGAGGGGGGCGGGGTCGGCGTGCGGCGCCCTGCACCGAGCCTCGCACCGCCACGGCCGAGCCCCGCAAATTGCGCGGTCGGGGAGGTGCCTGGCGCCCGGGGGGGCGCCCTGCACCTCCCGACCGCCCGCTCTCGGGGCTCGCGCCCCGCCGGGACGTCGTCGCGGGACCGGTGCCGGCCCGCGAGGGCGGGGGAGAGGCAAGGAGGCGGAGGAGAGAGCGAAGGAGGCGGCGGAGGAGGAGGAGGCGGCTCCGCCCCGAGGACTCCTCGGACTTGTTGGTCGGCCTCCCCCCCCTCCTCGCTCTCATCCTCCATCTCGGCCTCCTTCCCTCCTCCTCCTCCTCCTCCTCCTCCTTCTCCTCCTTTTCCTCCTCCTCTTCCTCCTTCTCCGCCCGCTCCTCCGCCTCATTTTCCTTCTCCTTCTCCTCCTCCTCCTCCTCCTCCTCCTCCTCCTCCTCCTCCTTGTCCTCCTCGTCCTCGTCATCGTCCTCGTCTTCCCCTTCTGCCCCCCTCCCCTCCCCTCCTCCCCTCCTCCCCTCCTCCTTCTCTTCTTCTTCTTCTTCTTCCTCCTCCTCCTCGTCCTCCTCCTCCTCCTTTTCTTTCTCCTTCTCCTCCTCCTCCTCCTCCTCCTCCTCCTCCTCCTCCTTTTCCCTTCCTCCCCTCCTCCATCCATCCCTGCCCGAGAGGTTTTTACTCCCTGTCGCACCTTCAAGCGTGTCGGTGGGGCGTGCCGGGCGATTGGCAGGAGACCTCGCCACAGATTTCTTGCCCTGAAGCTTGAACGTCGCAACAGTTCCAAGGATGGAGCACTGGTCGTTTTCAACATGGAGGTTTCGCCGTAGCGCCGCGCAGATTCTCCCCAAAAGCTTGCAGCAGTTAATAAGGATGGAGCGCATGTCGTTTTCAACATAAGGATCTCGCTCCGACGCCGCGCACACTCGTCTTCAAAGCTTCCAACAGCTAAAAGGATGGGCGGCGGGCCCCCTTTTTCAAAATGGGGCTCTCGCCTTGGCGCCGCGCACGCATTTGTCTTGACCACCTGCAGCAGCTACAAGGATGGAGGGCGCCTCCGTTTTCAAACTTGTGCTCTCGCCCTGGCGCCGCGCATCATTGGCTGAAGCGTTTGCAGCAGATCCAAGTGGGACGGCTCAGTTTCAGAATGGCGCCTCCGTTTTGAGACTTCCTGCAATGTCAGACTAGAGACTTCAGCACAAAGATGTGGCAGCCGCATACAGTGTAGACCCGTGCCAAGAAACACCCTGCTCGCCTCCAGGGTGCCCTGGGTTTCTTGGATGTCAATGGTTTTCCTTTGGAAGGCGTGACGTTCTCACACCAAAAATTGATGGACGTCCCTCGGGGTTGGGTTTCTTGTGGTCGGGCCCCTGTAGATGGAGGGCGGCTCCGTTTCGAAACGGGCTTCTCGCTTCCCCAGAAGTGAGAACGTGCACAGCAGTCCAACGGGTGGGGTGCCGTCCTTTCTCAAAGCGGGGAGCTGCAAAGCGAGGACATCCCCTGGATCGCTGGCTTGTGCTGTCATGCCGTCTCGCACTCCTGAACGCTCGCTAAAAAGGATGCTCAATGGAGGTTCCCACCTGACTGGCAGGCCCATTGGGTGCTGGTCTATCAAGGGGTCGCTTCTTTTAGCGCAAGCGAAGAACCGTAGGGAGTTATGAGGAGGAAACGTGGGACGGGCGGGTGTATTGCAACATCGCTGATACATCTTAGGTTTGTTTTGGTCCTCCTCCTCCTCCTCCTCCTCCTCCTCCTCCTCCTCCTCCTTTTCCTCCCGTAGCCATTTTGGCTCAAGATGCCGGTTTCCCCTGGGAACCAAGCGGATACCGCTAGTCCGCGGCTGGCAAGACTTCTTGAAGTCTGGCATCGATTTTGGTCCCTCTCACCAGCGCTCGGGTCGGTGGGTAAACGGAGGCCTTTCCCGTTCCTGTCGGCCCGATCGCTAGCAGCACCGTTCACTTCGAAGGCATGCCCCAAGATGGCAGCCATGGCCCGCCGAGACGCGGAGGCACGCGCATGGAGGGCGGAGCTGATCGCGGAGCGACATCGCCGACGGGTCCAGCTCATCGCAGTCGTAGTGATGACCATCGTGAACGTATTCGACGTGAAGCAGCACGAACTCCTGCTCCAGAACTGGAAGAATGGACACCAAACACATTTCCCTCACAGGAGCGAAATAGCGGCGACCCACTTCACGGACGAGATCCTTGGGCTGAGAATAAGCGACGAGGCACCTACGAGCACTCCACACGTGGGGCAGCCGACCGTGCGGCACTGGCACGCATGGCAGCAGGAGAGTTTGGGCCGGCCGTTGCAGCACAGGCCATGGCAAATTCAATTCCGACACAGTCACAGGCAGCACAACAACCAGCGGCGGGTGAATCTGGTATGTCTGGTGCGCCGCAGCAGATGGAGCAGGTTCTTCACTCAGTCATGGGCACGCAGTTCGCAGCCATCCAATCTCAGCTCCAGGACTTCATCAACACATCTCTTTCCTCGGCGCTGGAGAAGGCGCAGGGAGCGATCACCAGCTCGC